ATATTATCCATTGGTTCATGCTGCCAATGCTGGACTTCTTAATGCGACAATTGATGACGCGTAAGCTAGAATTCACCAAAACTTGCTTCTAACATTTACTTTATTGATTAGATTATCGTTACTTGTTGTTTCTCATGAGTGTGATATATACTGCTGTAGTCGACTTTGCAAACCGGGAACGCTTGATACAACCAAAATAAAGGGAAACATATTGATCTGCATTCGACGTGATAAAACGTCATCAATAGCTCAGAGTTACGAAGCTGGTAATGCTGGCGCAGTGGGAGTGTTTGTGGTCAATGACGACAAAAGTGGCAACACACTTCTAGCCGAGCCTTATAGTATACCAGGTGCAAATGTGGATCCCTATGAGGACGCGGATATAGATGAACGTGAATGGTGGGGAAAAGGAGGTTCCGACAAGAACAATAGCAGGTAATCAAATCATATTTCACTCTATGGTTCAACTTTGGATTCAAAGTAAGATAAAATATATGAATATTTATCTACAATCATCTTAATTGGCTTTTTAAAGTCATTTTAGATTATTTGACATGAATCTAAACTCATACCTAGTATTGTTTCATTCATAAATTACACTGCAGGAAACTTGCTGCTTACATGACTGTAGCAAGAACACATTTAGGTATAAAACCTGCTCCAATTATGGCTGGATTCTCATCCAGGGGTCCCAGTGCAGTGCAGCCATTGATACTTAAGGTCTATAACTTATCTCGTCTTCACGATTTTTTTGTTTCGTTCTCTCAAGTTGAACACTTAGTTCTCTGTTTCAGCCAGACGTAACTGCCCCTGGTGTGAACATATTGGCGGCTTATTCACTAGCCGCAAGTCCATCAAATCTACCATCAGATAGACGCCGTATTCCTTTCAATATGCAACAGGGAACTTCTATGTCAGGCCCTCATGTTGCTGGTATCGCAGGTCTTCTCAAAACACTTCATCCTGATTGGAGTCCAGCAGCTATTAAATCAGCCATTATGACTACTGGTAAAGTTGGCAAAAATATATCTTTTCGTTCTTGTTCTTCTATTAACATCGTTCAATATTTAAAAAATTTAGTGGACATAACAAACACAATATCACTTCTTAGATGTGACTGCATTAGGCAGCTGATTCTGTTAGAAAGAGAATGAAATTAGATGGATGAAACTTCTTGTAAATGAGAACAAACTTTAGTGGTACGTTGATAGAGGATCTAAAAGTGTAAATAAACCTAAAATCAATATGCAAAATAAAGATCTTGTTATAGATGATGAAAAAGAAAAAACTATGCACTTAAAATTTTGGAAGAGTTTTTCTTAATAGAAATTATTCTCTTTCTGCAGCTACCACACTAGATAACAACAACCTACCGATTCGGGATGCATTTGATCAGATAGCAAGTCCGTTTGATTATGGCTCCGGACATATTCAACCTAACCATGCAATGGACCCTGGACTTGTCTATGACATGAGAACAAGGGATTACTTGAACTTCATATGCGCTCATGATCACAGCCAAACTTTTCTCAGATACTTTAACAGCATCTCGTACAATTGCCCAGAGTCCTACAACATTGAAAATCTTAACTATCCTTCTATCACGGTAGCAAATCGAGGGATGAACCCTATAAATGTTACTCGGACAGTTACCAATGTGGGGACTCCAACTAGCACATATGTTGTGAGAGCTAACATAACTGAAGGATTTAAGGTTCTTGTTGAACCAAGTTCATTGTCTTTTAAGACTATTGGAGAAAAGAAGACATTTCGGGTTATTCTTCAGGCAATGAGTTGGCCCAGTAACGGTTTTCCAGTATTTGGGAACTTGTCTTGGACAGATGGAAATCACACAGTAACCAGTCCTATTGTAGTTCTTTAACCTCAGAAATTACTCTCAAGAATGACATCATTACCATCTTAGTATGCTTTTGTGTTTGATTTTATTAGGATGCAAGTCTTAAGTGTTTTTTCAGTATTGGAATGTTGTATCGAACTTCGTTTCATTGGAGCTTTGCTTGTATTAGGCACCCTCAAATCGTGCATGGAGCTCATCTGCTAGGTTTATTCTAACTATTAGAATGTGAGAAGTTTTCATGTGAATTTGTTGTGATTATGAAACATTTTGTTCTGATAATATATCTTAAATTTTCTTTTTCAATTTTTTAGAACTGGACAATGAAACCTTCTTTCTGATTAAATTTAATAAATTTTACAGCATAATTTAGCATACTCTCGCCATATTCATGATCTTTCATGTTTTTTCTTTCTGCATTCCAATAGTGTCGAGGAGTGTAGGGTATGTCATTTCATATCCTTTCTTCCTCACAAAAAAATCTGAAACATAATCACATCCTCCATCTGTGCTTAATACTTTTATCAGTTTCTTACTTTATTTTGAATTGCTTTAATGGGAATCCAGATCCACCGTTTTAGATTATCAATAAAGGATACTTTCCTCCGAGCATTCAATTTGAAAGGTTCACATCTGCCTATCCTTGCAAATACTTCTTTTAAAACAATATAACTAAAGGTTAATATGAATACAATTATTTTAAAAGTATAAAGGTATGGCGTGCACATGGGACATGTCCCTGGAAATGAAAACAGAATTGCATTATCTTTACATTTTCCTTTTTTGAAGTGATGAAATACAGAATAAAAACAAAAAAGTATATCAGTAGTCATTGCTTTCACACCTTTGATCATTGTTTACAAGGGTTGTTACATCAGAAAAGTTTACTTATAAAAGCTATTAGGCGGCCATGGAAACCTCAAATTTTCAAAATGCTCCAGGATGGAGGCTTTTATGAAAAAACAAAAACGGCATCTTTAACAATTTCCATTATGCAAATCCACATGTGAAACTCACCAAAGGGGCTCCACTCCTACGGAACAAACCTTAAAAGGGCTCCACCAATTTGGTGAAACCTTAAAAGATACCCTCCCCTTGACCCTACCTACCATTTCTAGCTTAGTCAAGACAGGCAGCAACTTCAATTTGGCCAGTTCCTTCCCCCATCAAGAATGCTTATAGACTACATCCACATATTAGGCCAACTTTCCACGATCATGCAATTTCTGTTGAGGAAGGTTATTTTTAAATAATTGCAGTATGTTATCTTTTTCTTTAGGCAATATCAAATAACAGAATGGAATTGCAATCATGACCAATAGAGAAATTTAAAACCTCACTTATCTATAATCAGATCATACAAGACAGAGTGATTAGGGACAGCACTCAACCAATTATTTGTAATGAATTTGGCTAATACTTTAACCCATCCCATAAAATTACTAATTATGTTTCTTACAGGCCAAGTTGATGCCAACCAGGGTTTTAGCTAATACTGTTATTCTGGATCAGCACAGTTTCTTTATGCTGCAATAAAGGATGCTTCTGGTACATGTTTGTTGTATATTTGAATGGTCCATTATTCTGGAGATTTTGTGATACTCTTATCTAATCCAGGTTGATACAGACAAATCAAACATAAGTAGGTAAAGTTTAGGGTAAATTATAAAAAGGGAAACTTGAGTGTCTTTCATTTCAATACGAATTTTCCACCAAGACACCAGATTAGGACGAGGGAAAAATTACGTTTGATTTAAAAGAAAACCCTAACCTTTGCTTTGAAAATAGAAAAAGTTGAGATTATATTCGGTACAGAAGAATGAAAGCCTCAGATAATGTGAAAATTGTGCATCACACACCGTACAATAAGTATGGTTTTAAGACGGCACTTGCTACAAGCAAAAATCATCATTGGCTTCGATGAATCACCATTCATACATAAAAAAGAAACCGAAAAGGCAAAAGCTATGATAAGTTTTCAACGATCTGCAATGGCAGAAATTATTTGGGAAAACAAAAATAAACAAGGAATGAAATGCAGAAAATGGAAGACAAACCAAACGACACCGTAACGAAGACGGCCTCCGTTGGTAGCATTGCAACGCAAGATAGTAGAACAAGGAAGAGACTGTTTATATAGTCAGCCAAAAATAAACCCTACCGATCTTTTTACGGTAACCCATTGTATATAATGCTTATATTTTACACACTAAGTTACAAAAAATATAAAAATGCCTTATTCAAGTAGTTTATAGAAATAAAAAAATAATTAAAAAAAATTACTTAAATAAAGTTGTATTCATGAAATCATCACTAAAACATTACGTGGAGACCTCGGAAAGTACACACCCATAATACCGGTCCCATCCCTTAATGAATCCCGAAAACCCCTCTGCAGTGCATTAAAAAAAACGCACTTTCATTCTCTCTGTCACCTTGCCAAGTGTCACGGTGGAAGGTTCTGAATCAGTATTGGAAGGCCAGTGTGTCAGTGGGGGGAGAGTGTGTTCGTTTAGAATGTGAAAGAAAGCTGATTTTCTGAAAAACACTTTTCCAATTCTCGGCATACACCTTCTTCTTCCTCTGAATCAAACCTGCATTTTTTTCTCCTCTCTCTCTAGAAACCCTTTCATCTTCTTCTACTTGTAACTCATCGTCTTCTTCTCCGATCAACTTTCAGAGACCGTGGAAACGTTCCCTGAGACGTGAGCGTCGTTCTGGACCGAACAGAACTGAGATCTGAGCTGGTAAGTTCTGTCCTTGACGTTCGTCTATTTGATTCATTGCGAACCAAGTTCTGGTTGCGCATGGGTTATAGGTCTGAGTTGTTGATTTTTGGTGGTCTTAGATTAAGTGAAAGTTGTTGAGTGACTCCTTGGATAGAAAAGCTGTAAGGGGACGAACAACCCTTTGCATTTGGGCGTTCACTACTTGAACCAGGTAAGGGAAGCTTAGAAATTAATTGATACTGTATAATGCGTGTGAAAGCATGAGTTGAATGGATGCATGAATGAATGTGATGATTTGATTGTCAGGAACGATTGCTATTGTGTTGAATATGAGTCTGTGAGTTTAACTGCATGTCGATCTTGATACGCATGGATTTAGAGATGTATGATTTTGGTATGGTTTGATTGGATAATAATATGAAGAATTCTATAAAGTATGCGAATTAATGATGTATGTGAACGTATAAGATTGTCGAATTGAATGAGGAAATGTTGAATTAGAATAATATGCGAAAATCTGAGTATGATATTTCTTCCCTATGATAAAGTACGTTCGTCATCGTACGGTCTTATACCGTTCGGTTTCCCTTGAAAATGACTTAGAATAGGAGTTCTTTTCATTTGGAAAATGATTCTGTTTAAGACGAGCGTCCTCTTGTGAAAAGGCTAGGTTTGAGCGTTCGGCTAGCTTAGTGGTATCCAACGATCGTAATTAATTGAAGTATTATTTAGTAACGCTGGTTTTATAATCCAGGTTCGTTATAGGTTAGCGCTTAGTATTATACTGAGCGTTCGTTCCAAATGAGCTCTCGGTCTTATATCGAGCGTTCGTTCTAGTTAGTACTCGGTCATCTACCTAGCGTTCGTCCTAAGTAGTGTTCGGTGTATCCTGAAACGCTCGGTCTGACCCTTGAAATTCTCAAACGTATGAAAATAGCGTTCGTCCAAACAGTAAATTAATATCCGTTACCGTTCGGTCATTGACTGGCGGTTATATCTTTTATTAAATTCGTATCAGTATCAACATCTAAAAGTCTTGCGATGTCTTTATTCATTTGGATTCGACCTAAAGTCCTTGAATTTAAATTATTCTAAGTTTCAGTTGAATCGTTCTAGAGTCAGTCATTTAG